GTTTTCTCTCTGCAGTTTATTGTTATGCCAATGAAGTGATATTTTTACTCCACGGTTTTTGGCCAGTGTATATTATTAGTGGAGGTTGATTATTTTTGTGCTTATTTTTAAGACTTAAAAGGTCAACTTATACACCAGGCCCCAGTTGTTTAAAGGGTGGATAGTATTATCCACTGGATAAATCTCTCTCTTTGCTGGATAATGCAGTTATTATTAATTTATTTCTATAATACTTAATATATGCTTTATAAGGATCATTACATTTCTGGGAAACTGCCCACCTACCCCTCCCCTAAGGCAACATTTTGCCCTAAATGAGAAGCAAGTGTTAATGTTGGCTTAGGGGAGGGGTAGGTGGGCAGTTTCACAGAAATGTATGATGGTCCCTTGATAATGATTTACAGTGTATCTGGTGGATAGCACCGTTCATTGTTTGAATAATTGGGGCCAGGTTTTTCATTTGCTAGTTAGACTGACAAAGCATTGTCAAAATAATTATTGTGAGGAATTTGAACACAGATTGTATACATGTACACTATAGTTTGACAGCAGCAAAACATTGTGAACAATTGCTTTTTACTTTTGTGAAATAGTACAGATGTCTTGTGGAGAGCTGTCCTGATAGATTTTCAAGTGATAAAGAGAGAAAGGTGATTTAGTATAAAAGTATGTTAAAAACTATCTTAATGTTTTTTTTGTTTGGTAGCCAAAGGGGTGGCTGTACACAGGCAAGTATTAATGGTAATAATGTTTTTTGGTAATTTTTTATATTGTTAACTGACTCATCTCAACAAGTGCACAAAAAAGTACAAAATAATATATTATTAATGAGTGGGACCTACAATTTACATGTATATTATAAATGGACCTCAAAGTGTTTAACAATTGTCTTGAAATACAGTCTGTACTGTGTCAAATGTTTGATTTTACTTCTCGAACATGATTTCCAAACACTCATTAAACATCAATTCCTGCATGTTTTAGATATGAATAATAATGAATGAGTTTATTTAGTAAGAAAGATGGTTTACAAAATGTACATGATAACATTATGCGAACTTTCATAAATTACTCACACAAACAAACACAAACAAATTTTATTAATAAGCAGGTAATATAACAGAAGCATTGCCTGCAGCTAGCAAGGCTATTCAAGGTGGGACAGTCTGTGCAAAATAAGAAATTTAGATTAAGGCTAATAAGAGCGATCTACACACGTTCGACCAGTGTGCTCTTGGCACAGGTAACCATTACAGAACTGTGTTTCTTGCCCATTTTTGGAAGGTAGTGAAAGAAATATGAATCTGATTCAGATTGTTTGTAATCTGTCAACAGGACCATCTGGTGTCTTTTCACAAGTATCCCGCGGACTTCAGATTTAATCGTCCAAGTAGACAGCAGCGAAAAAAGAAAACTTCAAGGTTTGAACCAAAGCACAGTGTAGCACCATGAAATAATGAAAATCCTATTAAATTCTTCCTAAACTTTCTACTGTATTTAAATTATCTTACTCAAATAAAGATTCTAGTTTAAATAAGAGTAGTTGCCCTCTAGTAGACAGCCTCAGAAAATGTTGAGTAGGAAACATGTTCAAGTTTATGGTTGCATAAACTGATATTAACCCTTTAAGCCCCAATATCCACATACAAATTCTCCAAACTGATCTTTATACATTTTCTTAAAGAATAAGTTGAGAGAATTTGATGAAAGATCAAAGCATTTTCTCTTAGGTGATCAATTTATTAATTCTCATAACCAAATCTCTTGACAATCAATGGATATGTTTAGGAGAAAATTGATGTTGGACACCATTGGGACTTAAAGGGTTTTAATAAACCTGAAAATTATGCCCTATGAAAACACACATAACAGGTGTTTAATGTCCTTGATCTATCCTAATTGTTTTTGTCGATGTAACTGTAGTAAGCACGAAGTGATCGCGATCTAAAAACTTCCTTTACAGAAGACTACCATTTAGACAGGCATTAGTGGGCGTTGCTATTTGTCATTATCAATTCACAATAATCAAAGAAGAATAAAGAATCAATGCATTTAGTGATATGCCGGGTGAGTTGAGAAAGGGTCGAAGAATAGCCAACAGCATCTTGGGAATGAGGCCAATGTAACTTTGCGCAAAAATATCAACCTTGTTCCCAGGTTACTTTCTCACTTTCACACGATGTTATATTTTTGATGACGTCACCTTTATTTATAGGAAGATTTTTGGTGTCATTTAATTTACAATCTGCAATCTGTGATCTGCAGTCTGCAAATGTCATACACCGCTGAGCCCCTTGGAGACAGGTTTGGAAAAATATCCACTCCAGGGTGTGGAGCCCCAGTCCCACCTGATCTGTACTCCACTCAGGAGGGCCACCCCTCCTGGTTCCCCTTAGTTCCTGTTGACTGGGGGATATGGGCCTCACCCCCAGAGACTGATCAGGACTCCTGTCCAGGGTGGCTACCCCCAGTACCACTCAATCTTGTCTCCCCCCTTGTCTCCTGGTCCCCTTACCCCTATATTTAAGTGCTTCCCTGCCACCAGAATTTTGCCCATTACTTTTTGTGTGTTTTCTGTGTGGTACCTGGCATAGAACCGTTATGCAAAATCAATGCCAACTGGAAGAGTTTATTGATTTAAAATTTATTACAGTTTAGCCTATTCCAGGCATTCAGATCGTAGGGAGTGGCTCTCCCCAGCATTCTCTCTGTTTTTCCTTGCTTTCTTTACTTTGGCTGGCCCCTTACTGTCTGAATGCATGGAACAGGCTAATCGGCCAGTTTTAAATTGCCTCACCATTTGAAACTGCCAAATTATACTTTTTATTCCATTTTGATGTAGTTCCCCTTCCTCTGAAGAACCTATGGAAACGTCCTCAGCTTCACAGGTAATAATTATAATAATAGTGATACTACTGCTAATAATAATAACAACAATAATAATAATAATGGTAATAATAACAACAGCAACAACAACAATAATAATACCGTAATAATAACAATAATAGTAGTTTGTAGTATTACAAAAAATAAATGTACATTGTATTACAGTCATTTATTATTAAAATGTACTTGACATCCCAGTGGAACACAAACTAAATTTAAAGTTGAAAAGGATAGAATATTATGTCCTGATAGGTGGAATAATATTAGCCTACAATCTTGGACAAAACTGTTGAGAAAATTGTATACTTGGACAGCATTTTTCTAAACATCGTAGCTGTACCGGTTCTTCCCTCTCCCCCTTCCCCTGAAAGCAATGTTGTTGTGTATTCAAAAGAAAGCCTGATCCCTGGACGTTTGTGGGAAGCAACATTGAATTGGGGGAAGGGGTTTTCTTTCCGCAAAGGCGTCATTTCGGAAATAGTTTAGTTGTGTAGGAAAGTGGACATGATGGGGAAAACTTTCTCAAGTAGTTTTGTCCAGGATTGTAGCATTGTAAAATAATCAGTGTTTTTCACTTTTCAGGTTTTCAGGGCTTCAAGTGTCCCTATATTTCCTTTATTTCCTATATTTTTAAACTTTCCTGATATTTCCCTATTTTAGTTTGTAAATGCCCTATAATCCCTATAATTCCATCAGAAGATCAAAATATTATGAAGTTCACGAACTTCTGTTGGTGGAATGTGACAAAGACAGTGAATTTTTCGGACCACCTGAGACCAAACTGGCAATAATTTTATTATTAGTTCATGTAAATGTACTTGATTTGATGCTGTTCCGAGCAATGATTCTTTATCGAGACATTGTCCGGAATGCAGCAGAAGCATGCAGCAACTTTGCGTGCACTCATTTTTCAAACGGAAGAGGATCGATCAATAATTGGTTGCTCTTATAGTAGCCAGTAGGAAAATAAGAATTTCCAATCTGTTATGAGGTATCTCTAATAATGTGCAAGGATAAAGCTCAGTCTGACCGTAACGACTGTAAGATTCTCAAGAATAATGTTGCTCCTTTAATTGCTGAACACAAAGCCAATGCTGCAACTGATGAGGTTCACATAGAGAACCAAAACTGTGGCCTTGCCTGATCAGAAAGTGGCATTTGTGGTTAACACAATGGTCGCAAGCTGTCAAGCTATAAAATTCAAAAGGAATTACATATAAAAACATTGTGCTCCACTCTAGTCTAAAGACTCGCAGTATGTCTACAAAAAAGTGGAGGGTTTCAGTCGTCAAAGACAATTCTCCATACTTGCTAGTTGGTGTAGCTTCAAGCTTAATCTGTAATTCCTTCTTTTAAATTCTACATTCTACAAGCATCTCTAAAACTCTGGGCCCAGCACCACAAAAAATAACAGCGAGTCATTGCATTAATGGACAAAACAACTCTACATTCAAGCATTTTGGAGATTAAAATGTATTGTGTTCCTTCCTTCTGCAGAGTTGCAAAACTGATGCTGGAAAAAAAGATGCTTTAAAAATCCCTATATTTTCCCTATTTTTTTACCATTTTCCCTTTATTGGCCCTATATTTTTTAAAAATTGCCCCTATATTAAGCCCTATATTTTTGCTTGAGAACAATTGAAGCCATGGGTTTTCTTCTGACCTAAAAGTGGAAATTTATTTTTATTTTACCTGATTCAGCTGAGAATGTACATGTATCACCCAATGCTTTGTAGGAGACCCTTAATTTTAATAAAAAGGGACTCCTTGGTGAACAATGATCTTGTTCCTCTCAGCTGATAGATTTCACTTTCCGTCTTTACTTGTAGGAAAAAGAGCCAAGTTCAGCCAGTCCAAACCCAAAACAAAGGTAGAATTGTGTGCAAAATTTTGTTCAGTTGGTATGATTTACAGCCCTTAATTATTAAAGTTCGAGTCTAATCCTTGACTGTTACTATACACTGAAGTGGCCTTTAGCAACTTCTGATAATTATAGTCTTTTAGAATTAATTCTGGTGCCAAATTACCTTGTATTACTAGTAATATTGACTTGTAAATTTGAGGGACAATTTGACAATACAATGTAGATCAATTTGGGCCTGTTCAGTATTGTTTTTAATGTGCAAACGTTACAAATGTACTTATGATTAATTTGTGAATGTAATATGTGTATATTGCATCTTGTTTTATTCCTTACGAGGCAAATCTTTGAATTACTTCCAGACTTCCAAGGACAATATGTTTTGGTAGAGGATCAACCAAGGCTTTCCAGAGAAATATTCCCAAGAAAAGTAAGAAAAAGGCCAAAAGCAATCAACAAGAAAATGGAGCAAAGAGCAATTCCGCTGAGGTGTGTTTTAATAGTAATGCCAAACTTCTATCTAACTGGGAGTGACTACTTTGGGATGCTGAAAATTCTACTCAGCTAGATGTAGGTTAACAGTTGGAAGTTTTAAGCTGCAAGATTCAATGAAACTGACCAATTTTTAGTAAACCAAATTATTCTTGACTTAAATTCTTACTGGTATAAATAAGATGCATTACTGAATTTCTGTTCAATTTGTATCGAAAAGTTAGCCAGGATGAGGTCATGCACTAGGTCCCTAGTCTATAATATTTTATTCTGGGAGTTGGTGGCAGGGTTCGTACTCTCAAATTTCATGACCAAATTCCATGACCTTCTCCAGGTTTCCATAGCCTGCTTAGTTTCAAAACTATCCTTGTTTAACGTATTTTTTTCCACATAACTCTGTTCAACAAATAGAGAATCTGGCCTAAACCAAAATAGGTGGCGTTTACTCTGTTGATTAAAATTACTCACATCTTAGTCATAATTTTCCTTGCTTCAACAGCTTCAATAACTAATCTAACATACACAGCTTTAATTTTCCATGACTGACTACTAAATTCCATGACTTTCCAAGCCTGGAAAATGAAATTCCAGGTTTTCCAATGACCTGTACGAACCCTGTGTGGGTAAAATGAAATGTCATTTTGAGCATGATTAGGGTTATTGTGAGAGTCCAGTGTGTCTAATGAAAAATAATTATTATTATCTGTTTCAGGTAACAATGGCTGATGTTGGCTAACACTTCCTGTCAGTGTATCAAGTAAATTTAATTTTTGTCCTATTATAGTAAAGTGATGTTAGTTTTGAAGGACTGTAATAATGAGAATTGCAGTTGTAAAATATTGGCCTCAGAGTTAGTCCTTGAATGCTGTGGTTAAAGGCATACCTTACAGGGAACCCACTCTCACAGCTAGAGAGCATGACTCAAGGAGCCTCCAGAGTATATAAAAACACAGAAATAATTTATTTCTGATAATCCAGAAAAACTATTCGTGACTACAAAGCTAGACTAGAATAGAAGTCTTACCTGAAAAGTGGTACTGAAAGTGTAATATCATGCAAATAAAATGTGAGTAACCCAGAATTTTAGCTTGATATTATACATGCAGGGGGAACCCACCACACCTCTTAACTCACCACTTCTAATAGTGAATAAACTTGTTCCTCACAGTGAGAACAACCAGACACCTACTGGGCTAAAGCCTTGGAAGAACCTCAATCCTTTTTTGTACAAGATTTGAACCCTGTTCCTTTTCGAAACACTGGGGATGAGGTTATGAGTTTGACCCTTAGAACAGACTCCAGTATGGTGGCCAAAGCCAATTCCCTCCTTGAATGGTCTTACACAGCCCATATGGTGTTGTCGATTGGATTCAGGGTGGCTGTCAATGCTCCTTCACGTTTTGCATCCTGTGATGACCTGTTCTCTCCATTTATGGTAAGCGAAGGGAGCCGTGAGAGAAACGGCCCCTTGTGTCTCCTCTTGTGCAATTTCTTGCAACTCACCCAAAATTAATGGAGAGCTTGCTCGTAGGCTATGCCTTGTGAACTGTGATTCCAAGTGATGCAAGGCGCCGAAGGCACTTTGCCTAGTAAGGTTCATAAATTTGTCGCGTGTGCGCGCGTGCTTCACATGTTGATCGCTCCGCAAGGCAGAAACTCGAGTTGCGAATATTTCTATAGATCTCTTGGGTGTCCACAGTTGACCTTATCCAGTTGTGACGCTGGGTGCGTGGCACAGTGGTCAAGGATCAATTTTCACTTATAGCAAATTTGGAGGGAGCGAGTCCAAATCCCGGCAAAGCCATACCTTTTTAACTTGTGCATTTTTTCCCTTTAGTTTCTTTATCATTTTTTTCCCTTTTGCTTGTTTCTCTTTATTCTCACTGGTGATCCTTTAAAGCTTCTCGAGGATTTTGTGATAACATATTTCTAGTATATGTAGAGTAGGGGAATGATGCAAGACCTCTGCAAAATGTACTTTCCTGCTATGGCTGATAGCATTACAGTTGAATTAAGCTCCATTAAGCAGACACTCTGGCCCCTCAATAGAGGTTTGTCATAGCGTAATCTTTAGCAGAAACATCACATTTTTAGTTCAAACAATCACATGAAGGGGATGAAACAGCATCACTAGTCCATAATTGGTATAAAGGCTTCACCTACAATAGAGGGTGGCTGTTTAAATGGAGGTTCAACTGTAGTTTGTACTGAAAAGATTTCTCAGAAAATCTCTCCTCTTTCATCTGCCAAAGTCCTAGCTACAGTAACTTTATGTAGTTGTGCAACAATGATTAGAGGGCATTTGTCTGAATGAATTATTTACTCAAGTGAAATTATGTACATGCAGGGAAATTCAAAATCACTATTTTCTAAAAGACTGAAGATAAGCCTAGTAATAGTATTAAAATAATAGTTCAAGTTTATAACATTGTTTTCATAATTTAAATTAGCCTGAGTATCAGGCCTTCCTAAGGGGCTAGGGGAGAAGAGATTTTAGGAGGGGGGAGGGGGGAGGGGGAGAAGAGAAGCGCCTGATTTAACTCTGTAAACAAAAGCAATTTACAATTTTCCGGACATACGTTTATTTACAAACAGAGCGTTGGCGATCTCACACTAGCACAATTCCTAAAACCTGTTATAATTCCTCATAAACGGCAGGTTTTACATTACAAGTATTCGAAAACTCCTCATTGGAGGTTTCAGAAAAAAGCGAAATCGTAGCAACACAAGCACCGGAACTCGGCCAGACCGTAAAGTGAGATTTATTTTAGGCGAGCTTTTTGACACGTGAAGCTGACAACCCAATGACCGGAAGTGATTTTGATTGGATGGTATCGAATCATGCTGTGTTGGGGTGGAAGGCTCCAGTAAAAGCATCTGTGTCAGGCGTTTCTCTCCTTCACCTCTCTCCCTTTTTCGCTTCCATTTTTCCCCTTTTCCCCAGAAACGCCTGATACTCAAACTAAATTTAAATGCACCAACCACTGAAAAAAGAATTTCTTCAAGAGCCAATAAGTGTCTGGTTTGCATATCATAATTAATATCTATTAACTATTGCTATAACAAAATGTTACATTAATATAGTATTAATGCTAATGTAAATAATTATACGCATGGAAGAGTTCGAACAGTGTCACCTTGTCCTTTAAAAAATGACAAGATGGATGAATAATGAAAATACTGTGGTTTATAAAGGGCAAGAAAAGTGATTTATCACAGAGCCAAAGCAGGGCTACATGCACTAGTAGAGCCTGGGGGCCCCTCGCACCTAAGTTTTGTTCTTGGGCGACTAGAAAATCTTAGTTTTTCATACAGATTTTACTGGTTTAGAGCACTGGCTTTCCTTCAGTTTTCCTTTTGAGCCTTCAGAGCCTTAATTGTCCAAGGCTTAAAGTAATCATGTTCCTTATCACCAGTGTTCTCTATCTAGACTACTTAATTGTTTTTATATCTTATTTCTAACTATTTCTTCATTCTTATCAGTAACTATCACTCAAATCAATGAAAATTGTGACAGTAGTTGTACACAAAGATAATTTTTTTGATTATTATTATTATTATTATTATTATTATTATTATTATTCATAACTTTTCTCCATTACTGAACGATTTAATATGGCTTAAATCTCTGGGCTTAAAACCAGCTAGCTTTTGCCAAATTTTACGAAGACTGCAAAAAATCTCAAGGCCAATTGAGGAACGTCAGATGCTCTTTGAAAAATCTGAATCTGCTAAGGAACTGGTAAAATATTAAATGTTTGGAAATATTTTTGAACAAATAGTAAAACAATGATATACACTGTACATGTATTACTGAATTTCATTTTTGTACGACATACATAAAGCATAAATTATGGAGAAATTGGAGTGTGTTACCAATGGTCACACCTTTTGTGTATTTTCCACAACTTTTGGCTTTTGTCAAAACCCCTCCCCAGTCTACGTGATTTGGGTTCCGTCAAGCCCATTAGCCAAACTCAATTACAGTTCAACTAAGTTCTAAAAGTTTGTATTCTTTTGGTTCATCTGCTCCAAATATGTATTTCATCCCCGTCTTTCATCTTGAATGTGTAGAGCTTCTTAGCCCCGAACCACATTTCTTCAAGACCAACGCAAAACCCAACATCATGGTAAAGTAACTTGAAGCCTGGAGGTGGTATTCCAATAAACTTACTCAAATATTTTTTTAAACTTGCCGTGCTTTGCATAAGATTTATCTCCCTCTTGAAAAGTGGCTGATCATCAAATATAAATGAGATCATGGCAGACGTTTTGGCTTGAAGGTTGACATCAGCAAGCCGATCTAACATGCCATGTCTTGCAACTAGCTCTGAGTATCTTAACGGTGGGTTTTCATTATCCATATGGTGTCGAATGAAAAACCTCTCAGCGTCTTCCCTTTCTTCCTCCATTATTTTGGTCTTGTTGAGCTTTTCAATGTTGGGAAGTCTTGCAATCAACAGCTGTCGTTTCTCTTGATCGGAAAACTGATTTAACAGGGGAATTCCCATGAGACTGACATCCGTCAGTTGGGGAAAGCATTTCAGTGCTTCTATGTCCTCCCATGTATTTAGAAGAGTATCATTCAGGTTAAGAATCTTAAGCTCAGGAAACTGCTGGGGTAATTCTGTAGGCGTGATGTTTTCCAGGGGGCACTCAGACATTCGTAGAGTGGTCAATCCTGGGAAGACAAATCCTAGTTTTCCAACCTCATCCCACTGTTTGATATCATGCTTATTGATTGATAGGCTTCTTATGTTGGGGTATTGCTCTGGTGCTTCGGGAATGTTGTCGTAGCCATTAAGACTTAAATACAGGTCTTGTACTCTGCAATTTAGAAACAAAACAAGAAGCCGATCACGAAGTATTGTAAACCTCAAGCTGATCATAATAATTATATTATTGTTAATCCTTGAAAACTTGATTGCTGGTCACATAACCGGGGTGGGATGGGTGTGGAGATTCTTATCCTAGACACTGTGCACTAGTATAGGTAGGTAATTCACAGAAGTACCCCCACCCTCTAAAATAGACTGCTATTAGCTGACAAAAAAACCCCTATATCTTGCAATTAAAGATGATTATTTAAATGTAAGGCTATTACTCACAAACTTTGAAATATTACTGTCTTATACCGATTTCAAATGAAACCTCTTGGGGAGAACTTTTGCATGGTCCTATAGCTATTTGTTTTAGGATTTTTTTCTGTGAAAAGTATTTGACTTGTTAAAAAATTTATTCCTGGAGAATTAGGAGATCGATGAAGGTTAAACGTATTGTATATTTAACATTGCACAAACCTTACCCAGTTAGACAGGTCAGAAGAGAGTAAACTGTCTCTAGTGGGACAGAGGTGTTGTTGAGAATAAGTTTCTTAATTGAAGGTAAAGCATCTCTATCCTGGTCTTCAATAAATGGGGAAAAATCATCAATCTTTTGTGACAAGTAATTTTCACTCAGGTTTAAGAACTCCAACTTGTGTAGCTGACTGATTATACGGAGCACCTGTGAAACAAGAAGAAGCAAAGTACATTACACTGGTCACTTATTAGTTTGCAAAGAACAGTATCCACATGGTAGTACATACGGGATTAGCCCTTAATCCTCTTCCTTAGTAACGATGCTCGACTGGTATACACTGTACATGTATATCCTAATGTTTTGTGTGATATCTTGGTTACTTAGGCCTTGATCCTGTAATCATCTACAATTATTAAATAGCATTACTTTACAACAGCTGGGCTTGGCACCAGTTAACATTGTTCAAAAGGCAGGGTAAATCTCTATTCACTGGATAACTTATCTGGATAACTTATCTAGTGGATAGCATTATTTAGTTTTTGATCAACTGAGGCCCAGACAATACTTTATTTGTATTGCATAAAATATTTAACCTCATTATACATTGTATTCACTATCTGTCTTCTCATTGGCTGAAAGAGCCTACAGATAAGTTAGTTAACTGACTTATCTGTAGGTAACACCCATGCAATGCATGATTTCCAATAACAATATCAAATATTCAGGTTCCTTGCAAGGGTGTGTTTGTGGTTATTTTCTTCAAAACAATGTATAATAAAACAATAATTGGATTAGGTTTTTGTGATATCCTAAATAATCAAGGTTTCAGTGAGTGTTATCAGCCTTGGCCTTCGGCTCGGTTGATAACACTTACCTCCACCTTAATAAACCTTGTCCAATAATTGTCTATAATTATTCTTGTTTCTCACCTCCTCAAAGTTAGAAAGCTTGTTCTTTGCCAGATCCAGCTCCTCAACATTTGGACAGGTTGTTATGATCTCCCGGTCAGGGCCAGCACATGTGATACCACAGCCATCAAGGGTGAGGATTCTCTTTTGGTAATGCTCTGATTGGTCAAAAGGGGCTGTAAATTATGTAAAACAGTGCAAAAGTATTAAAGGAGGTTAAGTGACTTATATTTCATAAGGATATTGCTGTTTTAGGTCAAATATCTGCTGAAGTCATTAAGTACCTTTACCCATATGCAAAATCCTTCTTTAGAGTTACAAAGAAACTATGAAGCAAAATTAATCAGAAAGCAATTACTACTTTGTTTTGTGTCTGGTTATTTTGCTGCGAAGCATTTTACAAACTGCCCCCCCCCCTCCCCCTCCAAAAAAGGTAACCTATTTGTACAACTCTGATCAGAAAGCTTTTGTTTTGGCTGGACTGTGCTGGTGACCCAGGGGAGGCAGTTGTTCCTAAAAATATATTATTTATTGATAGTGAACCGAGGATCATAGTGAGGGATTTTGGGAGTTTGGTCTACTATCTGGTAGCAAAAATCAGCCTCAGCTGGGTTTGGCACCCCGGGGCGGGGGGGGCACTTGGGTATTTTTTGGGTGGGTATGTGCTGCCCAGGACTCCAAATTGGCACCCCGTTCTAAAAAAATTTCCCCTAAAATTGATACCCCGTTCTAGGGTGCAAAGAGTACAACAGTTTGCTTGTTAACGCATTGAACCATATTTTTAAAGCAATCTGTCCTTGAATAATTTCAAATGGCTGCTTACAAAACAGGAGCTTTCGTGCGTTCGAAATATTATACCCCGTTCTAGAAAACGCCTCTGAAATGGATACCCCGTTCTAAATCAGGAGCTTCAAAATCACGACCCCGTTGGGCGGCACATCCCCGTATAGGTAATCAGGGTTGTCACTAAGATTTCAAGTTGCCAGGTAAATACAACAAGTAGGCGGTGAATCAAACGGCTAGGGATTTCTTTTGGTTCTATTTTTCTTCTATTTTCCAATAAAAGTAGCCGGGGGCCACTCTCTTAGTAGCCAGCGAAAATCCCCGGCCCCCGGCTCTTAATGACAACCCTGGGTAATGTATGGGAGTACCCCCCCCCCCCTGGGGTTTGGCATAGGCTATGGGTTTCAGGGTCACAGTGGCACATCCCCATCCAAAGACTCCTAAAGTCCCCCCTCTCCCCTCCCCCAGTTAAATGGTCACTCATGCATCAGCAAGTGACCTCTTTACTATTCTAGCAGAAATCACACAAGAAATTTTCTGATACTGTCCTTTACACGTTTACTGTGCACTAACCCTTTAAGTCCTAAGCCTGACCGGTATCTAATTCCTCCTTCAGACAACAATGCAAAATCAAGAAGAAAGGTCCAGAAATTATTCTTAAAGAATTTTTATTATTATTATCAATGGAATTCTCTTGATTAGCATTAACAATAACTTATAACTTCTAACTAATCTGTATGTTAATAATGTAAGCATACACGTAGAGATATAAAAGAACATAAATTTTGATATTAGTAGTAAGTGTGTTAACCATCTTATGTGCAAAAACAAACTATTTTGGCATTTCCCATTAAACCTGCAAGGTCAATGAAATTTAAAATATATTAATTTAAATGTAAATTTTACAAATAAATTGTATATTATATTAAAAAATGCAATTTCTCTTTGTTTCCCTGGATAAAACGATATATCTAACCTACAAAGCTAAAACTAAGCAATAAACTTAATCGTCAACTTAGAACAGTATCAGTAAATCAATGGCTTTTCGAATTAAACGGTTCCTTTAAGACGATTGTAGCTGTAGGCCTCTTGTTCAAGCTAATGATGAATACCTTTAGAAATTTTGGCACCGTATAATAAGTCTGGAAAGAAGCCAGTAATTGCCCACATAAGACTTTTTTTGTTAAACCCTAAGTTTCGTTTACCTTTGTGTTTTGGAGATCCACTTATGTGTATAAAACAAAGTTCTTCGTCATCTTCTTCGAGGCTGTATTTATTCAACAGTGCATCTTTGAAAGAAAGCTGTCTTTTGAAGGCCTGAGAATCCATTATCACTACAATACCGAGAAAGAGTAAAAAGTAATTATTAGACGAAAGCTTGACCATTCAAGTACAGAAATGAACATTTTTTGCTGAACTTTCAAATCCGGCTTTGCACATTTTTTTTGTGCTCATTCATATGCGAGTCACGCAATGAAGCGCGAAAGTAAGCCAATCACGCGCTTTGAACCTGTCAAAATGTTGCCTAAAAGGGTTCATTACCTCTCTTTGTGGATAAGCACGATGAACCATTAGACGCTGAAGACTTTCAAAGGCAACTTTTTACCTATTTTCTTCGGAAAATCACACGGAAAAAATTATTGTTATTGTTTTTGAGTGACCGCAAAGGATCAAGGAGTATTAGAGAAAGACTGGTACCTTCTACGTCATCATTTTGCTGCCCAGGCTACACCGAGTGGTACACAATGTTTTCGTCTTCCATTACACAACTGGCTCAAATTTAATACCGGCTCCAATTCCTCATTGTAATTTCCTAACATTGGCTGATTATGTGATCTAATTGTTCACAGAGTGGCTCTTCCTATTTCCTTCATTGCAAGCGACGCTTACGAGGAATAACGACCGAGAGCGACTTGTTTCTGCCGATGATGTTGCCGAGTTCCTGGATTTTCGCAAGAATAGCGTTTTATCCATCGCTTTTATGGGGTATAGCCACAGAAAGCTCCACCAAAAGATGGTATGACCGAATAGACACTCATGTGATACTAGGAGCTCTGCCGTTTAAGAGTCAGACCAGGGAAGTAAGTGTAATTAAATTTCATCATGTACTCCCACATCATTATGCACCTATCAATGTAAACCCCGTGGGGGGGGGGGGAGTGCGGGGTAGGGATTTGACAAATTTTAAAATTTTTTGATCAAATTCCCCAGGGTGGGAGACGAAAGGTCAATCAAAAGAGCCAAAAAAGCCCCCACCCCAGGGGAAAAAATCTAAACAAACAATACTTTAATACTGTATAAAACGAATTAAAAGAACATTTCAAAAGTACGTCATTACTAAACGTAAGCTCCGTTAAATTACTCGCTGTAATTAAGTATTTTCTCTCTCCACTAGCATCTCTTATTTTGAACAACAAAATCACTCTAGGAAGATTGACCGTGCTATTATAATATTAAAGAAACGTAAAATGCTTTATAACATCTGCTCAACATTTCAGAACAGGTCGGATCAGTGACCCGTAAAAAATGGGAACTTGAAGATAAAAACTTTCTCAAAATAGACATTATCTGTTTAGATGACAGTTTAAAGTATCGGATTATGGCGATGAAAACAAATGAAAACTTCACACCTTTCTCCAACAGTGTGACTTTCAGAAAGCCTCGAGGGACGGACTTGGTAACCACTTCTGAATTGATACCAGGCTTCTGTCGGTCAAAGTCAAATGTTCCGACACCGGGATCTCTTCGCACGATCAAAAGCCCGACGGGGGGGATAGTCTCAGGCATCAAATCCCCGTCCTTTGCCCACACTCCCTCCCCATGGGATTTACATTGATAGGTGCATTAGAATTCCTCTGAAACAGAGGGGTATGGGGCGAGTCTCTATTAACACTGTGCCGCCTTAGCCACCTGCCCCCCCCTCTTATACCAGTTGTAGGCGCATTAGGGAGATTTCTGTGTGGTCAGTGGCATTTTTTTGTAAGTTTCTTTATGCACAGTACTAAGTGATACCTGAATGGGCAAGTATAGTATCTTCCATCCAAACACCCTAAGTGAGACCAAAATCCACCCCCCCCCCAAAAAAAAAAAAAATACACCCCAAAGTGAGACAAGAAGCATCCCCGTCACTTTAATATGGGAGTTGTTCCTGAAAGGGAAATTATCACGCGCATAACTAATCCCAGATTGGTGCTAAAAAAACTGGTTTAACAAGTTTTTCAACCGCCTGCTTCTAAAAAAAATATGGTGCGAAGAATTGGCGACAGCACAAGGTTTTCTCTCGTCTGCCTTGGAGATCGTCTTGTAGGATTTCTACTAGTAGATATTTTATTGACTCTCGGTCAAACCTATATCTGCTGTACAGTTCTTTGTCTGTTAGTTGGTCAAGGTCAATTTCTCACTGTTGGAACCTTCTTTCACGTATTTGTGAAACAGAAAGTCCACCATTTTGTTTGTTTTGACACATTTTTTGCCGATTAGTGAGTTAATCGTCCTCGCTTGGTGGGTTAAATTTAACACGTCTACAGTTTATTCCTAGATTATAGTCTTAATCGTGCTTTCAGGAACACAATCTAATCGTGGGATAACATTTATTTCGCGATAATTGGGGATATTTAATCCTGGATTAGCGATAATCTGCTTTCCAGGAACTGGGGCCAGGTTAGTGCTAATTGACCTTTGAAAAACTGGGCCCTGAACTTCAGATGAGATAACTTTAAGGAGATTTGACTGTTAATCTGCATGAAACATGATAAAGCTTAGAGCAAAACTGGTGAGATTTAACTGAATGTAAATATGGTGAAAAAGTTCTCCCAGGCTAGTAGGGTGGGCCAGATTTTGGGGGTGTGTGGTTTAATTTTTCATTTAATATTTTTGAGTACAATATGGCATATTACACTTCACTCAGCTGTGTATTTATTGGGTGAATAATGGGGATATAATGGTATAGTTATACCTCTGATCCCCAATTAGAGCCTGCTATAACATTCTGCTTCTTGTGGTGAGTCTCGAAGTCTCACTCTTGTGAGTTTCAATGATCAGTGTCTATAACCTTTTCATTTACAGCCGCCTTGCACTTTTAAGCAAGGTCAATTGCTGCAAATCACAGATTATACCCTTCACCACCTCTAAGTGGCTATTAATTTTTTTTCTTCTTTCTTTTAGCTGGTGGAAAATGAAAATGTTGAAGCAGTTGTAACTATGAATGAAGATTATGAAACAAGATATATTGCCAACAGCAAACAGGTTAATGAAAGTTTACAAACGTATCTGACAGGGGTTTCAATAAGCACCGACAGCTGACAAAATGTGTCGGCTACTTTGCTCATATAAGTCGGCTACTTTTTTCTAGAGGAAGAAGAACAAGTTTGAATAACTTTGGGAACAAAAAATATAATTATCGTAAAATCTGAATGAAAATGTAATTATGATGTGTTTTCATGAAGGCCCACTGGTTTTATGTTATGCTTTAGTCATATAAATGCTATATTTCAGTCAATTTTCACTGGTTTCTTTATAGGTTTACGTAGAATTTGTTATTGGCAAAAGTACATAATTTAGTTTTCATCATTTGTTCATTGCTCATTGATTGTGACTGATCGATCAGAAGTTTAACGAAAGCGACACTGATTTTCTTGAATGAAAAACACGCTCTCTTGTCCTCAATTTAGGTCTCAGAATGCTGAAAATTGCATAATTTTTAGGGCTTTCAATTTTCTAAATTTTCTGGGGAAGCACGTCAACCCACCCCCTTCCCCCCACCCCCCATTCAGGGACTGACAAGCCCCTTTTGTTACAGTCAGTTTCTCTATTCAAACCTGCTGGCTACTGCAATTTTTATTGAAACCCATGTCTGTACAAATGAATTTCTGGAATGATAAAAGGGAAGTACATCGTATGACTTGCATTTGTATGGGTTACACTTTCGTTAAAAGTTTTCTAATTTGTTAATATTTTTCCTCTTCATTGCTCACAATTTGATTTTTTAAGTTGTATGAGGTCAAAATGGCTGGATTTTTGCCAAGTTCTTTTTGGCATATTTATGGAATGAGACAAAGTCTAAGTCAACAAAAATGCCAAAAAAGAAAGCGGCCAACATCCAGCCATCTTGGAGATGATGACCTCTGGAGATCTCAAATCTGGAGACACTCTATTTTGCACTACACCCTCTTCCCCCAACTGTCAACTTCCCCCGACTGTCAATAGCCCCCGACTGTCAATAGCCCCCCCAACCCCATCCCCCCACCCACAAAATGACCCAGATGCCTTGGCTTAGGACAAAATTCGCTTTCATGATTGTAATGACAAAATGATCTTTGTCAGTGACTGAATACTAGCAAAAATGTCCAAGAAACCGTACAATAAACAAAAAAAGAGTCAAATTTTGCAGAAAAATAGCGGCTAAATTTCAAACTAAAGCACAGAATAGCTCAAAAGTCCATTTATTCTGGGAGATTTGGGGCGTGATCCATTCAATCCATTTATTCCAACCAAAAGGTGGACCCATTTTTTTGAAACTTTTCCCGTTGGACCAAACCGATCCATATTGGACCGAAATTTCCGAAAATTTTGGTTGAATGGATCACGCCCTTGGTGACCTGTACGGGAGAGCGGAAGATCAGTGCCGCATCTGCGAGACTCCCGGATAATCTGGGAGAGTTGGCATGTATCCCATCTTGACCAAACAAGCTTGGTCAATAAAGGATTCATCATATGGCCCAAAAGATCACTTTTTCCTGTCGGACCATTGCCGGGAAGATAGGATCATCTAGCCCACTTGGGTAGCCAATTTGAATGCCATCAGGATTCACTTCATCTTACCAGCTTGTGGATAGTGGTTATTTTGAATTTTTTTGTTATTGACCTCACCAGGAATGGGCAGAATGGGGTGTTACTCAGCTGCAGTTGTCAACTGTAGATTTTAACAATGCACCATCTCAGGAGATGATACAGAGGGGTGTGGCTTTTATTGAAGAGATGAACCAGAATGAAAAAACAGTGTATGTCCACTGCAAGGCAGGAAGAGGGCGGAGTACTACACTAGTGGCGTGTTATTTAATGAAGGTATGTTCTGTTACTACTTACTACTTACAGTATTCACCAGGCTTGAAATTCACCATCACATTTCTATCATTGCACATAATCACATATAGCGGAAATTCTAGCCCTAGTAGTACGCAGGATGTTTGTCACATGAACCTAGTTCACTGGCCTTAGCTCCCACAAGTCTCTTGTAGCTCAGTGGCAGAGCATCTGGACTAGTAACCACAAGGTCATAGGATCATATCTTGTTGGGAACACTCAGATTTTCTCTCCTGTGCCACCTGTAGCCTCTCATGCAGGCATTTTTAGGGAGTTGTATTTCCTCCCCCCCCCCCTCCCCACTCCTGACACAAAGGGGGGAGGAAATACAACTCCCCTAAACACCTGGATAGGAGGCTAAGCCACCTGTGTTACTGACTGTAAAAATATCTTTCTTAAATCATGATTTTAGTTTTTTCCAGGATTATTATGATTATTAAGCTGTATGTAAAAGTAACTCTCACTGTTTTCTTTTGTCACTTTAGGCTAAGAAACTTACTCCAGAGAAAGCACATGAGTACATCAAAAGTCGAAGACCTCACATCTTACTTGCTTCTCGGCAATGGGAGGCCATTCGATTATTCCATAAAAGCCTTAATACTCAACAAGATAATGATCACATTTTATAACAATACACAACTTCCTCCCCAGCCCCATGACATTCATTCTCTATTCCAAATCTGCTCAGTTCTGGAGCATTGTTTTACCTTGTAATCAAGTAAAATACCTTACTTGTGAAACGCTTGTACCAATTCATGTACATTATGCTTTCCCTATTTTACTGTATAAATGCATTTTAAAATGCCCTCTAAAGAACTAGATATAAACGAGGCTTCTTAAGTGGGCACTGTGGTAAAAAAAATGTCTTGTTCTCCAAATATTGTGGGTGTTTCCCGTTTACATCTCAGCGCCATCTCGCTCGATCGTAAAATTTCCTTAGTAATATTACTGTAACAACAGTACGGCTGGAGCTGTCCTTGCAAAAAATGGCTTAAAATTTGTGGGAAAAAAGTGATTTTGGTTATTAAAATTTGAAATGATTAAGTAATGGACAAAGACAGGATACACGTGCCAACTTATATTTATACGGCCTTGTGTAATAATTATGGAGCCTGGCCTACCTCAACAAGCTTTGCTATGTGCAGTCTAAGGTCGAAGGTCGTCCAGTGCATCCCTGAATTGTATAAGCCAAAGCAATATATAAAACGTGTGCAAGAGAAATGTTGCGTGTTTTCCCTCTTCTCGAGTGTTTCCTAAAATTTCCCAAGTGCTCGTGTAACTCACGAACACGTGAGAAACGTTTCTTTACTATGCGCGTGCTAATCCTGTGGATAAGAAATACACTCCTATTTATACGCACGAACAACGTAGCAAGGAGGCGTGTAGAGCGAACTATAAGCTTGGATATTTGTTAAGTGCCGTCTGTAAAATACAACTTGACTATCCACAACTATAAATGTATAAAATCTGGGCTAAAGTCTTAACTGAAAAAACCTTTTGATACTACAAGGGAAAGGCGGGAACGCATCCCTCAAGCAAATGCAGGCGCCTTAGACTTGGAGGGTAAAAGGGACAAAGGAAATACAATGGAACCTCCCCCTGGGGATACCTTTATTCAAGGGACATCTCCATTCGAGGGACACAAAATTTGGTCCCAGAAAAATGCGGTTCACATAATCTTTGGGCACTCTTTTGCACGAAAAAAAAAACACTCTCAAAAAGCGTTCATAAGTCTAAGCTTGCACAAGTCACAAGGACAACAGCTCTCACAACATGAACTATCTCAGTTAAATCTATGTACTGCACTCGTGGGAATTCTACACACAACATCGCAGAGATGGGTTAATCATGATTTCTTAAAAAGGTTCAAGAGCTGAGGTGCATACATAATGACCTAAGAGCGTACCATAGCGTGCGTGCGCTATGGAATAAAATGAACTTGTTTCTCTTGACCAATCACAACGCAAGCACTTGCACATTGTCTTCTCAAACTAGCTTTCATCTTTTCCTTTTCCCTTTCGCGCCTTTCCTCCTCCCCCTTCTCGTTTTGCGCCTGACGCGCAGGGCATTATTAGACTGGTGACTTTAAAAAGATAGCAGACTCCTACGCAATATCCTAACTATGGCACTACTATACACTAATTCCATTGTCTTCTTTTGTTTACTTGCAGCTATTTGGCATTAATTTTTGTATCTGTTTCACGGGTTAAGTAAAATCACTGTAACGAAAGAAAGCATCCATCTTCCAGGCTATTGTAAAAGTAACACGGCTTTGTTGGGTGACAAAACCATATAATTTTTTTCCCAGAATTTACTTGAAAAAAGGGCAAGGTTCGCAGCTTTTTTCTTACCAACAAAAGATCTATGGCTGCCGTGACATCAGCTGAAAACGAAAAATAGTTTCTCCAAGATCACTTTCAAAAGACCTCTTATCAAACATGAGAAACGGTGTTCCATCCCGTAATGAACACTTCGAACTTCATCAAAAAATGCTCCCAACCGAATCTCTTCTCTTTGTTGGATACGTGATTAAAAAGGCCCTCTTGTCTTTGACTAGCCTGAGCAGCCGGCATTTTGCAACGCCACCACTGGTTACCCTTCGAAATGACGTTTCAGAAACAAGCGCAGAAATTCAATGCTGATGACGGGACACTACCCAGATCTGGGTAGTGCATCCGATTGACTAAAAATTTGCTTCAACCGACTGGGAGTCACTACCCAGATATGCCTAGTGACGCGTCATCGGTATGGAATTTCTGCGCTCCTTTCTCAGAGGTCATTTCGCGGGAAGACCAGTGTTGGCGTCGTGTAATGTCGGCTGTTTTCTCAGGGTAGTCTTTGATACATTGCAAGGAAACTTCAAAACGACTAACAGACTGAGTGGTTTGAGTTTGTCACTCAGCGTCTGCTCTTGCCTGCGTGCAGACGTCTCCTATTTCCTTTGTTTTCCGCGTGCAACAAAGGAAATAGGAGACGTCTGCACGCAGGCAACGTCTGCTCTGACCTGGACGTTTAATTCGTCTGAACGTTAATGTGTCTGCCTTAGCGTCCCTTATTGATTCTAGACGTCTTAAACGCGTCAGACGTCTCTACGGCCATTGTTTACTGTTATATAGTCGTAATAGCATTCACGAAAGAGAAAAACCCTGGTACAAACAAAACAGGGGTCAATGGTCAATATGGTCTGTTTACAACTCTTTTGAATTAAACGCATTGGCTAAAAATAACTCTTACAAAAGGCTTTTAGGAAACTTGATCATAAACTGGGTAATCGGATAGTAAAGCTACAACTTAGCTGTTTTAAACAAAAACCTGCTAAATTTCCGCTTACTTTTACATACGTCATAGAATCGCCTCAATCTCTTACAAAAACGTGAGAGTAGAATGAGGAATGAGTTCACGGGATTGCTTGTTGGATGCAAAATAGATTACTTGAAATAAAGTAGAAATTAATGAAACCCTAACCCTAAACGCATAGTTTACAATTTATACCATGCCTCATGCCCCGCCACCAGCCTAGTACCTAGGCGTTCTTGGCTTGGTCAATTCTGGGCTGTTACGTCACCGAGAGACTCGCCCACTGTTTCCGAGACATTTGCGCGGAGAACGGACAAGAGAGAACGCCTAGGGACTAGGCTGCCACGCCACGTGTCATTCCGCTAAATTACTCCTGCTCTTACCCAATCCGGTTACAAAACGGTTATAATCATACTTTTAAATGTTAACTACAACAAGGAAAATTAAATTTTCGTGTCATTTTGAAATGAACCATAAAAATGTACACTTTGCCCATGCCCTAAAAAGTTAAACTCGAAATATCTTTGTAAACGTCTTTGCTACGGTTGAACTTAAAGAAAAGTGAGGTAAATAGGTTCATCCATAGGGTGATCACTAAAAGTTAATACTTTACGTGGTTCTTCGTTGATGCTTCGAACAGTACTGCAAATCCATTATTCGCAACTACAAGGGAAGACATGAAAAGCAACCTTTAGAACCTGCCTCAGCCTCAGGCGCAGCTTTGGAATCCTTATTTTTCTTTTAGTGTCAGTATCTGTTGTGGTAACGCTCTCCCCTCTGAAACAATCAGCCAATAGAGTATGCCAAGAAACAGCGGATGGCTTTCAAAACTTACATCAGTGAGCTGCAAAAATGAAATATTGCCAAATATTAGCTATCAGATCCAGACCAGGGCAGGTCCTTTCAAGATAAATGGTTATGCAGTAACACTTTCCGCAAGTTATTATCTTGAAGAGAGGACATACAGCAATTTATAAACCAATTTACTTTGCTCATTGTAATTTTGATTAAAAAGGAAGATGAACGTTATTGGGGTCAGTTGACCAATTAGAAATAACTTAAGTTAAAAACTGCGAATAAGATTTAAACATAAACGTACGTTTCCAAAAGTACCTTTTCAATGGTAAAGAGTCCTCTGGGAGAAAAAAGGCAAAAAATACCGTAAAGAGATGACGGCTTCATGTTGTAACACGGCGGGCAACTTGGTGTCATGACTTTTCATTCCAGTCTTACTCAAACTCAAGCTACTTATGATTAATTCGACCCCATCATTTCACAGCACAGCGGTTTTTTGGAATTGATAGCTCTCAACGATAGTCGTTAGGATGGTTAAAAGCCCCTGCAAGGATAACATTCGTTCTCACTCATTGATAAAGCTGTACGTCCTTGTTATTTAACACCTTTCCCAATAACACAAAATGTTAAAAAAGTGACCATTAGAGTGCTGTCACCGTATATAATTAATCTATAACTACAAGTGTAATTTATCTAGCTACTAATTTATTTTCCTTTATGGCTTGTGTTCACTTGGTAGCACGTTTTCTGGTGCTTAACTTATTGAAATTCACATTTAATGTTTCCTTGTTTACCTCCAAAAATTGGCATAACCATTGCCTTCGATTTCTCTTAGGACGACTGTAACAACCAGGAAAAATTGGAAAAAATAATTTCCGGAAAATTGTGGAGGGGCGTGGGGGGGGGGGGGGGATTGGGGGTGGTTGCAAACAAGGCGCATTATGGTCCATGTGAAAATAGTGAATGTAAAGAAAGGAGAATAGGATGTGTAGATGAATGCATATTTGAATGAACTCTACAAATTGAAACAAAGCTTGACAAAATATTGTTCATAGATTACAAGATTTTTGACGTTACCTCGGCATTGAAGGTTATCTATTCGTTCCCACCAAATTCCAAGGTGACGTCATCACCAATAAGCACGAATGGTGCCCAATACTTGACTGCATTAAGCTCCTCAGATTCTCTCATACAGTTCATTGTTTGATTCAAGGATTCACTAGCACTTATCCCTTTCACAAGATGCTGATAGAAATTTTTCATGAATTCCAAAGTGGCTTTATCATCAATCGCCCACAACGACACCAGAACAGAACGAGCACCAGCACCCAAAAATGCCCGTGCTATACCGACCACACCCTCGGCTTTGATCTCCCCACGAGCACTATGACAGCAACTGAGTACAACTAGTCTTGCTCGCATCTGAACACCCAGTACATCTCTCATCGTCAAAATGTTCTTTTTCACACCTTTTGTTGACGCTAGGGCAATCTCGCCCGTTTCCATATTGCCATGTGCAGCGATGTGCACCAAGGCAATAGAATCGAGTCGGGCTAAAACCTCATCCTTTGTGGCCTGTGTTCCAATTAGAGGTGTACTGCCAAGCATTCTGCCAATCATTTCTACTTCCTCCCTGGCACATGGTAGCGGTGGAAGCTCTGTCAAAGGGTCACCCACAAGAAGTGTGCCTGACTTGTGATGATAATCTACTGGACAATCCGCAATCATTTTCAAGCTGGTGAGGGATGGAGCCACGCGAATTTTGAATGACTCGCAAAGGTACTTGAAATCTGGGTTCTGGAATGCAGCAAAAGGGGCCAAGCAAAGTGAACCTTCAGGAACAAATATTAGTTCGCTGCCCAAAAGTAGATCTTGAATAGGCTCAATTATCATGTCATACAATGTACTCAAGGCACTGCTATGAAGGTCCAAGAGTTGGGTTTGTCTGTCATCCTGGAGCGATGTTTTAGCTATTAGTCTTTTATCCCTCGCCCATTCAAGTGATCGATCTTCACACTCCAAAACATCTGTTGCTCCAATTTCCTGCTGCAAAATCTGTAAAATAGCCTGAAAGAAACTGTTGACTTTATCCCGCGAATTGATTTGCTTCTTTCTTAGTTCAACACACTTTCCTTTCTGGCAGACCCAGAAATTTAATTCACTCTTTCCAAAGGCTATAAAAATTGTATTTGGAGGAAGGTCACTGAGCAGTTCATTGACCGTTTTTATTCTGGCTGTACCTGGTCCAGCATACGTCGTTTCAAAGGCATACTTTAATTCAATAAGATCTTTTAAACCTTGTGCGCGTCCTTGCTCGGCAGAAAACAAAGCCTCCGTAACGCTACCTTCTGCTAATTTCAAGCGCCAAAGGGCTGCGTATGCTGTCTGGTATTGATCACGCAAGCTTATTTTCCACTCGTCGTTCAATTGAAGACGCTCTCTAATGTTATTAAAGAAAGTAATTCCTGTCTGGTAATATTCAATAGCCACTGGAAATTGGCCTAGTAATTCAAATGATTGACCAAGATTCGAACACGCTGTTCCCTCACCCAATGTGTCACCCAACTCTTTTGCAATTTTCTGGTTACGTTTAAAGTAGTCTATGCCTGTCTTCAAATCTCCTAGAAGGTACTGGACCTGGCCAAGATTGCCATACGCCTTTCCCTCCCCCGATTTGTCACCCAATTCTTTCGCAATTTTCAGTCCACGTTCATAGTAGACGACCGCTGTTTTAAGATCTCCAAGACGTTGATGGGCGATGCCAAGATTGCCATTTGCCCCTCCTTCTCCCGGTCTGTCGCCCATAGCTTTCGCAATTTTCAGAGATCGTTCATGGTAGTCTATGGCTGTTTTAAAATTTCTCAGACTGTCATGGGCGCATCCAAGATTGCCATACGCCCTTCCCTCCCCCGATTTGTCACCCAATTCTTTCGCAATTTTAAGAGAACGTTCTAGGTAGTCTATGGCTCTTTTGACATCTCCCAGACTGAGAAAGGCGCAGCCAAGAATGCCATACGCTTTTCCTTCTCCCAATGTGTCACCCAACTCTTTTGCAATTTTTAGATGACGTTCTTGGCAGTCTATGGCTGTTTTAAAATCTCCCAGACTTTGATGGGAAAAGCCAAGATTTATTTATTTATTTATTTATTATTTTCCCACAATAAAGATTACACAAGCATTACATTATACAAAGATGTGGCGAGGGGACCTCAGAAAACCACAAGGCTTGTACGAGGAGGCCCCCTCGTTACAATAATATTAAGCAATAGAACTATAACAACACACAACAACGGACAGTACAAGACGCATTATCGATATAGTAGAAAATCAAAAACTTTCGTTTTAAACGATTGCAATGTAAAAATCGAAGTGACTGAGTTTGGTAAAGAATTCCAAATTTTAGGGCCTTGGAACAAAATAGAAAATTGTTTGGTGTTAGTTCGGCAGGCATGAGAACGGAAATGCGAGGAACTTCTAGTATTATAATTATGAATATTGCTGCTAGTAACAAAAAGGTTCGAAAAAAGCGGTGGCAGTAATTGATGATAATATGAAAAAAAAAGATTGCCATATGCCGCTCCTTCTCCAGATTTGTCACCCAACTCTTTTGCAATTTTCAGATGACGTTCATGGTAGGCTATGGCTGTTTTAAAATCTCCCAGACTGCTATGACAGATGCCGAGATTACGATATGCATATCCTTCTTCCGCTCTGCCACCCAGCTCTTTCGTAATATTCAGATGCCGTTCATGGTAGACTATAGCTGCTTTAAAATCTCCTAAACGTTCATGGGCGGATCCAAGATTGATATACGCAGTTTGAACTCCCGACCTATGACCCAGTTCTTTGGCAATTTTCAGATGACCTTCATGGTACTCTATGGCTGTTTTAAAATTTCCCAGACTGCTATGTGAGATGCCAAGTTTGCCATATTCCTCTCCTTCTCCAAACCTGTCGCCCAATTCTTTAGAAATTTTCAGGCTACGTTCATTGTAGTCTATGGCTGTTTTGAAACTTCCCAGCCTGTTATGGGCGTCGCCAAGATTGCTATATGCAATTCCCTCTCCTGATCGGTTGCCCAATTCTTTCGCAATTTCCAGATGACGTTCATGATAGTCTATTGCCGTTTTAAAATTTCCGAGACTGAGATGGACGATTCCCAGATCACCATATGCCCTTCCTTCTCCCCGTCTGTCACCCAGTTCTTTCGCAATTTTCAGGCTACGTTCGTGGTAGTCTTTGGCTGTTTTGAACTTTCCCACGCTGTTGAGGTCGCCGCCAAGATTGCTATACGCTTGTTCTTCTCCCGATCTGTCACCCAATTCTTTGGCAATTTTCAGACTTTGTTCATGGAAGTCTATGGCTGTTTTAAAATTCCCTAGACTGTATTGGGTGTTGCCAAGATTATTATACGCTTTTCCTTCTGCTAATCTGTCTCCCAACTCTTTTGCAATTTTCATGCAACGTGTATGGTAGTCTAAGGCTGTTTTAAAATCTCCCAGACTGTGACAGGAGATGCCAAGATTGGCATATTCCTCTCCTTCCCTTGATCTTTCACCCAATTCTTTCGCGATTTTCATACTACGTTGATGGTAGTACATGGCTGTTTTGAAATCTCCAAGACTGTGATAGGAGATGCCAAGATTACCATATGCCGCTCCTTCTGCGGATCTATCACCCAACTCTTTCGCAAGTTTCAGGCTACGTTCACAGTAATTTAAAGCTGTTCTAAAATTTCCCAGACTGTCTTGGGCATTGCCAAGATTGTTATACGCCTTTCCTTCTCCCGATCTGTCACCCAAGTCTTTTGCTACTTTAAGGCAACGTTCATGGTAGTCTACAGCCGTTTTAAAATCTCCCAGACCGTAATGGGCGCATCCAAGGTTGCCATACGCAGTCCCTTCTCCCGCTCTATCACCGAGTTCTTTTGCAACATTCAGCTGACGTTCATGGTAGTCTATGGCTGTTTTGAAATCACCCAGACTTTGACAGGAGATGCCAAGACAGCCATACGCCGCTCCTTCACCCGATCTGTCACCCAATGTTTTGGCAGTTTTTAGGCGACGTTTATAGTAGTCTCTGGCAGATGTAAAATCTTCCAGACTGTCAAAAGTGTTTCTATGGTTGCCATAAGCCTTTCCTTCTTCCGATCTGCCTTCAAAGTTGTCAATTCTACTAGAACTGCTAGTGCTCCCAATGGTGTGTGTCGGATTCGCGTCAGTTCTCTGCGAAGCAAATCACGCAAAGTGTATGAAATCACATGTTGCATTATGGTTTTTTTAAATTTAAAATCTATACCTGGATATAACCGCGGCACTATGCGCTGTAAGGCACCTGTTGGGCCGGAATCCCCCTTTTTAATTTTTCAAATTCAACCAAAAGGGTTAACGTGGTAAGGTCAAATAGTCAAAGAAGAAATACAACAGAAATCGGCAGATATTGGAAGGCATTTAGGAAGGTTTAATAAACATTCCAGTACAAGTCGGTGTTCTGATTGGATTAAGCTTATAATAAGTTTCATCGATGACAAGCGGTGTATATTATTCATTCTTATAGACTCCATTCTCGGTGCCTTGCAACTCGTAAAGACGGTACGGGTTTATAAGGGAGTGTGAGTTAAAGTTAACTGGCAGCCCGTAAGCGACCAATCGTTTCAGTTGTTATGTGTAAAAAGTAAAACGATTAGACTGTTTTTTTTTTCTCAATCGAGTGTGGCAAAAATGGTTTGCCTAAAAACCCAACATCAAATTTCTATAAGATAGCACTCTTAGTTTTGGAACGCCTTGAAATTGTTGTAGAGTAGGGACCTAAAACTCCACAATTCTCTTCTATTGGTAGGTCGTTACTCTGATTTTGCGAGGCCCGTTTCCGACAGGCCGCCCATTCAGTCTTATGTTCGCCGTTTTAGGCAAGTTTTAAACATTGCAAGTCGGGTACCAAATTTTTTTGTATCATTGATGCTTAATCTGAAACTCTACAGATACTTAGCAGTTGTTATCTTTTGGTAAGTTCTAGACACCGTAACAAAGACATGGGAGGGCTACCCAAGAACTACACATTGTGCTTAAGGAGGACGCAGGGCTTGAGTTTGAGGAATTGAGAAATGCAATGGAGGATAGATGTTTGTGGCAAACTATTGTGGGGTTGTGTTCGAGCAACTCGCTCGCTACACGATGAGGTACCAGGAATCTGATTTACATCTCGGCCTTTATTCTTCTTTGACTTCTGCTAACAATCTTAATTTTCCTACTCTTGTAACTCTTTTCTACTTTTCTACTCATCTCTACTTACTAGTTCAAGTATAGTAGCGGTTTTTATAGCCAAAACTGGACATGTTTGGGTTAGCTGACCGGAATAGGTTTGCTATTGTAAGGGAATAGATTAGCCTACGCACAGCCGCAAGACAAGTACCAAAGAACCTAGGCCAGTTCTAACACCACAAACACGACCACCTGCAAAAACTAATTAATATCTGTCAATGCCAAGCTAATAAGATTCCTAATAATTATGGCAATAAGTAAAAAAATAGTTCTTTTGATCTACTAAAGGAAACATTTTTTGTTGGAAGAACAACATGAAAAACTTGTTGCGGCGGTGAGAAAATGAGAAATGTTAGCGGCCACCATGATGAAAAATGAGCGGCAGTGAAAAAAAAGTGGACAAGAACACTTAAGACATTTCCTCCATAAAACGTGTAACTAGGAAGTTTCTAGAAGTTTCACTTTGTAGTCGTGAAAAACAACGACAAAGAAATGTCCAAAAAGGACTCTGGTGTACATGCAAAGTTGCTTTTTTGCTTAAGACCAATTGTTGTTTTTTCACCGTTCTCTTTGCCTTCGCCGCGTAGCATTACACGATTTTATATTTTGTTTTTACCCCTGGCTAAATCTATATATTACCTTGATAATTAATTAACCCAAGGGGAACAGTAATTACTGTTTCTGGTGAATATCTATGTTCCCCAAGGCGACATTGATAGAAACATTGAAACTTGTGGTCATATTTGACAGTGAAGAAGAAAAATCGGGCGTAATGATACCAAAATCACTCTCTCAACGGATACGCATTCGCGAAGAGGCTGGATCTGAATCGGAATTCTGCACATAAAACACATATGTTTGAACAAGTAGAATAATCTTTTCAGTACGTCATCAAAATCACCCAATTATTTGCCTATTCTTTGACTGAATTCAACAGAAACGTTTTTCTGGAGCATATTAAATATTTCTAAGCCTTCATGTTTGGGATTATTGACCATTTAATAATAAAAAAGGGTGAGAATTTATTTTCTAAGTCAAAATTTATTCTCTTGTTACACAAAATTCCTTACCTTGTCTCTTAATTATTCCCCATAAATTCCCGCACATTCATTCCAACGCTAAAGAGATAATGGTCGGAACACACTACAGGACGAGCGACAAGTTGCTGCAACACTGAGGACGAGGCCGTTGCTTCGACTTGTCGCCTAGTGTATACCGTTACTTGTGCAGTTAGAGTGATTTTCGTGTGACCTTAAAAAATGAAATCGGTAAGTGTTCGTTATTTGTTTTATCAGCCAAGGGATGAAAAGATGAAAATATGACCTCTTTGTTTTCCCGCCAAAAAAGAATACGCTAGTTCGATTGGCCAATCGCGTTGCAGTATGACATCAAAGCGAAGTATTGGTTAATTTGTTGAACGTTTTCGGACATGAAGTTTTTTCACCCGAGGGTTCGCTTAACCAACCAACCAACCAACCAACCGTATCCGTTCGATAAACCAATCAAATCGCCCTATTTCGGTTCGTTTGTTGTTTCTGTTATGTTCGCGTGTTTTCATTTCAAGGTCATACGAATTAAAATCGCTCTAACCCAGCATGCGTGTGCAGACGTCTTGCTAAGTTTTTGTTTCACTGGCCGAAACTGATTATTTGGTATCCGCCTACAACCAAGAGTGTAGTATTTTTTTTCATCCTTACCTTTTCTTGGTGGCTTTCTTGCAGTTTGCTTTTTTCTTTCATGGACGAGTCCCGAATTCCCAACAACTTCTGGTTATTCGGGTCAATCTTTAAGTAGTTAAATTGTTCAGTTAATTTTCATATAGTTTTAAAAATTGCAAGCTACCCAACTTGAAAGATACTATTTATAATTACGCAACGTTTCGTTGGTCACATAACCCCAAATTAAGTGTCTCTGATTGCAAATGATTTTCAATACAATAATATCTTTTTGTGTAGCAGCGTCCCGATTATCAAAATTAAGTTTGCTAATTTGATAAGAGGATACATTTTCTTGCCTGAGGATGCCTCGTGTGATAGAAAAGGATATAGTCATAATACAAAAAAGGGGAAATCTGTACAGTAACTGGAAAGCAGCCGATTGATATACTTTTAAAACTAGGAGTAATCGGAGCTTAGAAGAGTGCGTTCGGTATGTTTGTAAGGCGTACAGGTAGGGTGGATGGTTATTGCGATAGATTAAGCCCAGTTTCCATATGATCGCTACGATCGCTGCGATCGCTAAGAAAAAAAAGTTCAGCGATCACATGGAAACCACTCTCCCGCAAGCGCAGCGACAACGATCGCTGAGATAGAACTTTTTATATCTCAGCGATTATTGTAGCTGAGATCGCTGGAGAATGGTTTCATATGATCGTTATGATCCAGAAGTCTTTTTTTTTTCTCAGGATCGCAGCGATCACAGCGATGGTAGCGATCATATGGAAACCGGGCTTTAATTTGATCATGGCATATTTTAAACGTAAGGATTGCTTAAAGCGAAACCTCTGTTTAAACTGTGTATCATCATGAAAAAGCCTTGAAGGCTAGTGATATCGTATGGTCCGTCTCAGTAAGTGCAGTAGTTTGGTCGAGTGTGTTGATTTCAGTGACTTGAGTGGAGCTACTGTGGGCTGTTTATAAGTTTTTCCGAACAAATAACATAGACCTAAAATGTTCGTTTGTCCGGTGCCGAAAATATCACAAGTCATGATGAAACGGCGCCGCCGAGCTTCACATCTCGGTAGATTTACTTTGTGGCACAACGGCCGCCGAGTACACAACTCTGTAGATTTACTTTGTGGCACAACGGGCGCCGAGCTACACAACTCGGTAGATTTACTTTGTGGCACAACGGCCGCCGAAACTTTTTAAAGATGAACGTTTTCAAAGATTCAGCAAAGACAGATCGATAGTAGACCTTCAGCATACTCTTGAAATATGTACGCTATACGAAGATTCAGCAAACTTTTAAAAGATTTACCAAGACAGAATAAAAGACCTCTACAAACGCTTGAGGACGCACTAATCACCACGTGAGTTAGTTCGTCAAAGTGAGGCAAAACGTAAGCAAGCGCCTCAAAGCGAGGCAAATGTGTGTCGACGACGACGACAAATGCAATCTCGAAAAAACCTCCCTTATTAATTGCACAGGGAACCCAATAATGCACAGAACACCCAACGCAAATTAGGGGTTGCGTTCTCGTACCTCGAACACAATTAATTACTGGTCATTTTTTATAAGAATCTATTACTTTCGTAAGAAAGGGGCTAATTTCATGAGCCGAGCTAGAACGGTATGTCGAGATCTCGGTCCAATAATTAACACAAAATCAACTTCGTGCATGTGGTTAATAGACAATTCAGCCATCCTTGAATCGAAACTGGTATTGTGAATCGGCGCCGCCAAGCTTGAATCGAACGCTGAGGTATTGCTGATAACCGCGGCAGTGTTAGCTCAGACGGTAGAGCGTGTTGACTGCAGAGCGGGAGGTCGCGGTTTCGACTCCTGGGGCCGGACCAATACTCAGGGTCTTAAAATAACCGAGAAATGAAGGTACTCCCTTTGCACTGCAAGCGGCTAGACCTTCGCGTGGCTCGGATGACCGAGTAAAATGCATGGCGGTCGCGTCTCCAGTTGGAGACGTGAAATATAGTGTCCCCAATTAGTACTTTCGTGCTAAATACATTGACACTCAAATAAAAGTGCAAGTGCATTTTTTTTTGTGATGCCGTGATCCCTACCGAACCGGGCAAAAAATATGCGAAATTTTGGTGTTATACCGTTGCACTCTCACATTGAGATAGTCTTAAGTCTTCTGTCTTCTGTCCACAGTTACCGGACTAGATCTGTTACTTATGAAAATTACTATGTTGAACAAGTTAGAACTGAAAATATGAAGCGAGCCTTCTCTATTTCCGGTGCTTTAATTTGGAACAGTATTCCACTTTCTAACAAAACACTTAAAAAAAATCAATTCAAAAGCGAACTAAAGAGAAAACTCTTTCAAATACTGGAAAAAGAGGACGACTATATTAGAGTTTCTGATATTACAGGCCAATTCTCAAAATCGTAACATGGTGTACTTCCGTATAAAGTATACGTACAGTCTGCCTTCCTGTCTCACTCTGGCTATAAACCACACGACAAACTAGATTGCTTCTCGGATTGTTCGTTTAACATATATATATATATATATATATATATATATCTATATATATATATTTATATATCTATCTATACAATTTTCTTTTTTCTCTTGTACCCGCCTCGAATAGCCTTCGCTAATTGCGGGCACAAGCTTTGTAAGCTATATTTAATTTGACATAAACTTGTTGTTGTTGTTGTTGGTTCATTCTTTCACTTATATACACTTTTTTGTACCAAAGCCTTTGTTTTGATTCAGTTTCGTTAAGTCTTAGAAACCGAGCGTTCTCTTCGAATTCTAGGGCGCTGGCGCTAAGCGCGCGGTGTTTTCTCTTAAACGGGCGGAGGCAAGATTCGAAGAGATCTCTTGGTTACGTCAGGGAAATTGACTCCAAATCTATTCTATCAACTTTAGGAAAGGATACTGCTAATCCTTTATCACACCAAGTGATGGCTTCGTCAAACTTTTTCAACTGAACGCAGGCACTTGCACCTGTGAATACACAAAGCACAGTTTAGCTCCAACACATTTGGTGTATTCAATGCTGATTATCTTGTTTGTTGTACCAAGGGAAGGACTATTTGAAAATTTGTGTGGGTGATGAAAGTCAAGAGAAAACTACGCGAAAAAAAAATCATGTGCATGGAACAGTCCACAGATCCTTTCAACTGCACAACTGCACAGCCAACATTGCCTCGATCTAATGAGCATTTTTTTTGAAGCGATAACTGCGTAGTTTTACAAACATTACTCTTGTTATGATATCCTACGCTATCATGTGATAAACAGCGGCAGCAGCTTTATTTTAGTGGAAGCTTGTGATAGAGAAGAGATATAAGCTGGCTTAACCTACTGTACACCAGACCCATCAGAGAGTCAAAGGGTCATAGTTAATACAGCTGCAGCTGAACGTTAAAACAGTACTGGCAGAACTTCACGTTTGTTGTTAAGCGAGGGAAATGAGGACATCGTTAACAACTCGGAGAGAAGAGAGGCTTTTCCATAGGTTGACTGGTGTGTTGGAGGAGAGTTTACCGACGTGCAACGGAGTATATTTTACTAAGTTCGGAAATTTTTGATATTGTGATGAACATTAGGTTACCATGGTTACAGTCCGTTTGGTTGGCCACAAGCTTTTCAATGGCTAATTAAGGGCCTGTTTACATGGAGTGGGGGATCCCGGTCTAGTGGGGTTGGTTTCTTTTGTTTTCACGCTCTGGGGGACACAAAACAAAAGAAACCTACCCCACTAGACCGGGGTCCCCCACTCCATGTAAACAGGGCCTAACTTGGAAAGAAATTTCTGGGGCGGATCCAGGTATTTTTGCTTAGGAGGGACCAACCTGAACACCAGTTGAAGCCAGTAACTTCCATCCTTCTACGTCGTTACACACTGTTTTTTTTTTTTACCACAGTACATGTGAACACGGAACATTCTACTCATAAAAATCATTCGCCTCTTGTGTTAAAATTGTTAAATGATGAACTTTCTCTGTTCAGATTTAATTAATTTGATCAAGTCCCACGGTTAAAAGGCAACATGAAAAAGCATTAGTTCTGTTTCTCAGCCAGGAAGTGGAAGTTGTATGCGACAATTCAGGACCATGCAGGGGTAACTGTTTCAGTTTTATAGCAGCTAGTTGGCTTAGTACTTGATCAGTCGGATATACTGGGGGAATCAACACCCCAAAGACCCTCCCCCCTGGATTCGCCACTGAACTTTGACGACGGGACTATAGCTAACTTACCTCGCACAAAAGCTTTCAAGAAAGATGGTCGTAGGCCCACGGCAATTTTTGCATCATCCAGTGTTTCAGTGTAATTACCTGTGAAAGAATGAATGCAAAAAGACGATAGAACCATTTGACCACAGTACTCATATAATCACTGCTAATACTTATAGCAGTTGTTACTCTTCCCTGCCCCCAAAACAATCCGATAGGCAAAACGAAATTAAAGATATTTAAGACAACTAACAGCAACTTCTCACCCAAATTAAAACGTGCCGCCGCCCTGTTGCTGTACAGTATGGCGTTCAGTTCTTCATCTTTACAATTCACTTTAATTCCTTCCGTGTAGAAGTGAATGGCGCTGTTAAAATTGTTCTTCTTGTACTCATCGTTGCCCTCATTTTTGTAGACCTCAGCGATTGCTACAATAACAATAATAATATTAATAATAATAATAATCATAATCATAATTGTCACTTACATGGCGCAATTTCCATATGAATGCTCAATTGCGCTACACAGTAGACCGTGAGCGGTCGTCCTTCTTCCCTCATTGCCACGTCCGGTGAGCGAAGTAGTGAAATTACGTAAATTAATGATAAAAAGGAGGAGAGACTGAGGGGGAGAGAAGACTCTTATAATTTATTCGCTCAGGCTTCCGCCCTCGCTCCTCGCGGCTTCTTAAAACTAAGTTTAAAAACTTCTCCTGATGGCTGATATTGGCCAGGTTTAAAGGCGCTCAATTTTTCACGATTTAGACCTGCCACCCTTTCAAAATAACGTCGGTGTAGTTCCGGGTGTAGTTGCATCCCGGAGTAGCCAATAGATAAAAATCGAAATCGATGAAAGTCGTTAGTAATCAAGTGATTTTTATCGATTGATAACGGAAAACGGTGAAAATCGATCTGGGGTAACCTGAATTTAGTTCAGACACCGGCCCCTTCGACTTGATTGCTACCGATTTTTGTCGATACCGATTTTTATCGATTGATTACTCGGGGCTCAAAAGAAAAATAAAGAACTGCTCGCAGTCTAGCTTCACAGAAGTTCTAAAAATATCAATAATAATAATAGTAAAAATTAAGAACCCTGTCATGAAAAAACTTGGGACAATAGAAATATTTTCAGTTTAGTTTTAAAACATGATAGACTCGTGGTCGTCCTTATGTCATGTGGTAGGTTGTTCCACAACTTTGGGGCAGCGAACATAAAATCGCAATTACCAAGGGTCTTTGATGATTTCTCTGGAGGAAAGTGGAGTAAGGTTCCATCACACAAATAAGAGAAGAAAGATGATGAGGAGCCATGTTACTTAAAATCTTAAAAGTAATTAAAATTCACTTAAGATCGATGTTTTGCCTCAGAGGTAGTCAGTGCAAATCCCGTAATCTTGGCGTGACGTGGCAGAATTCAGGCACTGAATATACCATGCGAGCACATGCGTTTTGAGTTCCCTGGAGCTTTAAGATAAGACTGTTAGGCAAACCGAAGAATATAACATACCAAATTACAATGATTTTAGTCAGTGTATTTCTAACTTTTGAACTTGCGTGATATTAAGTCGTGTTTGTTTCACTTGAGAATAGACCAATTCCGACATAGTAAAACTCGTACTTGGCAGCAATGCTTGGGGGAATAAAACAAAAGAAATCATCTCGAGGCTCAGTGATGAATTATTCATTTCTCTTGTTTTATTCCCCCAAGCCCCGGAGCCAAGTAAAATTTAAAAAAAAAAAATGAAAATGGTCTATTTTCTGTGTTTTTATCATTCCTTCCTTAACTTCTGCAACTGCTGAGTGCTGAGATGAAATTAAAAGACACCGTAAGAATACCTTTTACGAATATTGAATAAAATGGCCTAAACTCAATATTATTACCCTCACATCCGTAAAAATAGATAGCTAAGGGCGTTAGCCGGGCGAACTAAATTCGCTGTCGACATGATAAGGAAACAGCATGTTGTTCCTCACCTCTTAAATTGTCATCATCAAAGTGCAGTGTTTCTTCAGCAGCTGATGTGCCTTCGCCTTCTTTCGAAGCTGTGATTGCACTTCTCGCCATGCTTGAAGATTGACGAATTGCTGATAAAGGTGTTCCCTGCTAAAAGATTCAGACAGATTATTGCACGGTGATATTTATCTGTCTTCGAAAGAGAAATTGAGACTGTTGTATATTGTTTTGAAATCGGGCTCAGTCATTTTATTGTACGAAGTTGTGTTCCTGAAGATGTGACAACTCACTGTAACTTCATGGATAACGTAACTTGAAGGCAGTGCATCATGGAAAGGGCCGAGGTCTCTTTCCAGGGGCACCGAACGACGGTTTCCTCCTAAATACATTGAAAACTCTTTTTAGGCTATCCAGAGTGCTTTTACGTCTCATGAAAGCATTCTAAGCGGCTCAATGAAATGTGTATCTGTTCGGTCATCCTAGGGGAAGTTCAGTCTTTTCGAAATTGCAAGGGCTTCAGAATTATTTTCCCGAAAATTTTAGATGTAATTTTTACGAAAGTGGAATTTTTCGTATTCCTCTCTCCGTCATATGTTTTAATAGGGAAATTTTAGGTTTCCTTTTTCTACGACAATTAGCATAACATGGAGAGTAAAATGTGAGAAATTAAAGTTCAGAAAATCGTAGGGGATTTAGTAGATAAGGTTCTAAAATTGTACCTGAATGGAGCGGTCATCTAGAAATGTTTAGCCCTCCTCAAGCAATAGAAAATTGTCCTAGGCAATATTTGCTTCCCCGAACAGATAATTTACAGAAAACAGTCGTTGGGTGCCCGTTTTTCTAACAGCATGTATTTCTTCCTATTACCACCAACGGGTCGCTCTTGCTTAGAGAAACAAGAACGAGTGCTATACCTTGCCATTTCTTGATAGACTTGAAGAGGTCGTGGTTCTGGTTGTACACACTCTCCACAACCAGGGAATTTTAAGGCTCAAGCATAGGTATTTGTGGCATCACAACCAGCAATGTAAACACCAGCAAAACCCTCACAAACTCTTAACCCCCAAAACATAACCACCACAACCAACAAAGCTAACTTAATTGCAACAAATACAACCGTCACAATCTGAACGACACCAGAACTACTACACATGCATGTTGGTTGTGGCGGTTGTGAGGGCTGTATTCGTTGTGCTGGTTGTGTTGGTTGTGCTGGTTGTGCTGTTTCTGCTGTTTCTGGTGGTTGTGCTGGTTGTGTTAGTTGTGTTGGTTGTGCTGGTTGTGTTAGTTGTGTTGGTTGTGCTGGTTGTGTTGGTTGTGCTGGTTGTGCTGGTTGTGTTGGTTGTGCTGGTTGTGGTGGTTGTGTTAGTTGTGTTGGTTGTGTTGGTTGTGTTGGTTGTGTTGGTTGTGTTGGTTGTGCTGGTTGTGTTTGTTGTGTTAGTTGTGTTGGTTGTGTTGGTTGTGTTGGTTGTGCTGCTTTTGCTAGTTGTGTTGGTTGTGCTGGTTGTACTGGTTTTTTGTTGTGGTGGTTGTGTTGGTTGTGCTAGTATTGAGAGTTGTGCTTGTTCTGCTAGTTGTGCTGGCTATGAGGGGTTTGGAGAATTTGAGGGTTGTTGTGGTTGTGGAGGTATTAGTTGGGCTGTTTGTGTTGGATGTGAGTGTTGGTCAGTGTTCTGAGGGTTGTGGGTGGTGCACTCTATATCATTGGACTCATTGGGGTTTCTTGGAATCTGTTCTCTTTGATTGATACTACAATTGTTTCTATCATATAAAAAGGAGTAAAATACCAGGCAAAGTTCTTGCATTTTGGAAAATAAATCAACAGAGCCCTTACACTCTGAAGCATGTTCATTCAAATTTTCTGGTTGTGCTGATTGTGCGGGTAGTTGTGCCACGAATACATATGCTTCAGCCTTAAAATTTCGTTGTTGTGGACAGTGTGCACAACCAGAGCCACAACCTCTTCAAGTCTTTCAAGAAACGTGGCAAATTTGACGGGAGCAGTGAGGCCTAATGAGAAAACTAAACAAATACAATCAAAGAAAAAAATTATCAGTTACATGTCTAAACATACAGCCCAAGGATACTACGTGAACCAATCTGTACATCATAAGTTTGTTTTTCTGCTGTGAAAAGAATCCTAATGCCAGCTGAGAAATATTGCTCATAGTTCGTTAAAGGTGCCAAATAGATCAGACTGCAATATTTATGCGAATAACCAGCATTCAGGCGAGCCAATGATCACCAGGTATTATTACTGAAAATACACAAGGAGCCTGATCAGAAAATTCGAAAGGACGAAATAACGTTTGTAGCTAATAGTCAAAGACCTACAGCTAAAATGTGGAGATACCTTATCCTTCTTATCGCAATTTTGAAGCAGCAAACAGGTAGCGTGGCTACTGGAGAAAGATTCAAATTGCATTTTAAATGATGAGAGCTGAGTTTTTCCCACTTTTTTTCTGACGGAATAAAAGCAGCTTACACGTCGCACTGTCTGGTTAGGCCTTCAAAGCATACTATCACCGAGAACTCTTCTCTGTCACGCTTCCAAAAGTTCTTTTAATAGACCTTGTCACGGTTTTCGACGACATCTTGACGAGTAGGCAAACGTGTGTGAAATGACAGTGTTTGTATGAGAATGTAATGTCGAATAATTTCCTTAAAACGGCTGTTCTGAAAAAAATATCAATTGTAAACTAAAGGTACAAAGCAAAGGATTGTCCTAAAATTTTTGGAGGCGTACCTGTGCTTAAATTTGTCCAGAGGCTTGCTTTAGACTTTCCATATTGTTTTTCTGTAATTTTCCGGGAAATGTATAAAATGTATAAGAAATTTAAAAAGTGGTTCTAGGTCTTCTAGAGCATGTAACGCCCTCAAATTGTTTCAGTAGAATCCTTAGGAGTGAAGCTTTAGTTTACAAATCATATTTTTTTCAGAACAGCTGTTCTACGGAAATTATTCGAAATTAGATTATCATACAAACACAGTAATTTCTCACCCGTTTGCCTACTCGTCAAGATGGCGTCGAAAACCGTGACAAGGTCTATTTACACCCTTCTCTTTATCATTCTGTAGTGAACTATTTTCATTTTTTTTCCTCTTTTCTTTTTTCTTCTCCTTCCGTTTCTACCTTGAACTCAAGATCTTATCTACCTCTTTATAAAATGAAATGTTCGCTATTGAAAACAAGACGCATCTGTCCTTACTCGGTTAAAAGTTATTGGGGTGTCAGCGATGAAACAAAACGAACTGATTGGATATCATGATGCAATGTGACAGGCGGAAACCAGTTTTTAATAACCATCCATTAAACCGAGTAAAGCAATGGGCAAATTTCACCCATGTTTATACACTAAAGTCACTGAGTTTATTCAACCCTGACTTAGTGACGCGTTGAAATGGCACTGACTGCCGTAACGACACTACCGTCATGAAGCTATATGACACCAAAACTAGTGATGTGTTGATCTGGTTCCCCTAATATCTCGAACATCCGTCGCAGATGCCTG